TTCCTTAGGGGCAGTCATCCTGGGGCCGGGCATTTCCTTTCCTGCAGCCCAGGAAAGCAAAATAGGCTTGTGACTTAGATCAGGGCTCTGGCAGCAAGAAGTCACACAGCCCCTGCACTTATCAGACAGGCAGGGAGCGCTCAAGGGAAGCTCCAGAGAAAACTAGGGAAACTCCCAAAAGGCGTAAGTAGGAGCACACTGGTAAGGTCCCACTAAATCCAGAGCTCCAAGGCGACTTTTGCTTAGTGGGAAGGCAAGAGGGAAATCAAGGCAAGGTGCAGGCCACGCTGGTAAGGAGTGGTTAAATCCAGTAGGCCTGGCAGAGGGGGTGATTGACCAGTATCACCTAAGCTCCAAGGCGAGGGGACGCCCTCACAGAGAGAGAGGCTGACCAGGTGCTGGACACCCGTCTTTCTCCCTCTCTCTTTCAGATGGGAGCATCCTCTTCAAGGTTAAAGCCAGACACGCCCCTGGTATGCATTCTGAGGAACTGGGAGCAATTTTGATCCCCAGACCCTGAAAAAGAAGAAATGTCTTATCTTCTGCACATAAGTCTGGCCTCAATACAAATTCTCTAATGGAGAGGCTTGGCCCCTGAGAAAAGTATGCAATATAATAAGGTTATGGCAGCTAAATTTATTTTAATGCAAGGAAGAAAAATAGTCAAAAGTCCTGTAGACTATAATATGGAACTAGTTTTGTAAATTATTTTGGTAGAAATCTATTCTACTTATTGGGTTCATTATCTTCAAAAATTGAGAGGTTTTTGAACTAGACTCCCTGAAACAGAAGAAATGTATCTTCTGCAATGCAGCCTGGCTTTAAATGACTGGAGCTAGAATTGTGCTTGCATTTCATTTCCAGCCCCCTGGAGACACACAGTCCCTATCAGTTCAGAGCCTTCATCGGCTCTGTTAGTCTGGGGTTATCTAAACCTTAACCCAGTTATATAAACTGCTCGCCTGTAGAATGTATTCTTGAAAACTGAAATACTTTTAGTCAAATAAGCTAAAAGAAAAGGCAATTAGATATCAGTAACTCAAGTCTCTGTGTCAGTTTGTCTGTGTATATGTTCTTTTTATGAAGTGTTGTTAACTATAGTCATTATGTCTCAGTCTGTATGTTTGTGTGTCCAAGCGTGTAGATGAAAAATTTTTCTACCTCCAGATGGTATTACTGAAATTGATTTAAAGACAAGCGCTTGTAAGAATTGGGCATTCTAAAACTTCCAGAGAATTCTAATAGAAAATATTAAGCATCAATGCTAATTTAAGTTAAACTAAAACAGACATGTCCTTATGGTTATCAGCTGCCTAACTTTACCTAAAGTCATTTAAGTTGATGTTATCTGCTAAATCTTTTAAGAATAAAATGCTTAAAGGCTTGACTTAGGTCTAATATTCAGTAAAGGTCTTGTAAGTAATCTAGCATAGCTGTTAGGAATGAGTGAACTAAATAAGTGTGGCAAGTGAACACCTTAATAATTGTGTGTTACAGTGTGTATACCTACCTACAGCCTGAGAATCTTTGTAGTAACCTAAAACCTTAAAGTTTTGCTAAATTAAGAAGATATACTTTGTGTTTAGTGAGAGATTGTGCTGTAATGCTCATAGTTACAGAAATTATAAAATGTTCATAAATTTGTCAACCTAAAGAATGCTAGCGTAACAGTTTACAATAGCCTGCTTCTCAGTGTTCACTAAAAATTAAAGTACCTAATAGTTTTAAGTTCTAATTAAAACTACTTAAAGTAATAAGGAAAACATTTCTGCATCCTAAAGAATGTGTCTTTTGATAAAAGAAAGTAACTTTGTTCTAAAGTACAGCTGTTTTTACAGAGAAAACTCTAGATGTAAAAAGGTTATAGGAAGTTTGTAGAAGAATTTAATATAGTCATGCTATATAAAATTAAAGCAAATGAGTCTCAGTTTCAAGTACACAGCAAAATTAGAATTTTGTTTTCAGTTAAAAAAGACAAAATTTTCTTAACTGTTAGTCTGCTCTTAATATTGAAAGATTGCAATAGGTTCTCTAATTGTTTTATCAAAGCAGTTTCTCATGCTTAAAGTCTCAGTGAGTTGTCAGAGTATTTAAAAAAATGAAATCTTAATATTAAACTTTGCTAACAACTGTATAACCTTTATTTGCCTTTGAGGTATTTTGTTGTCATTCTAGTTAAATGAATAAGTATTGCTTCATGGCCACCTATAATCTTATTTAAGCAAATGCCAAAGAAACTTTCTTCTGACAACTTTCCAAAATCAAATTCAAAAAGGTGCTTTTACCTCTAGTTAACTCTGATATTTTCCAGAGGGCCCCTGGAACATGTCAGAGGAATTTTTTCTCATTGGAGAAAGTATTTGGCTAATTTGGCTTATTTATTTGATATATAATTACTTGCTTAATTACCTGGAAAGCACTGTCAAAGGGAATGATGCTAAACTTTGTTACTGAATGTTTTGTGTTACAGAAATATCCAAATTTTCTTATATCAACTGTCTTATAGTAAGCTCTCATCAGATCTTTAACTATTGTCATTTGTAAGTCTTTTGTCATTTATAGCCACTGTTTTATTACTCCTAAGCTAGTAAAGAACTAGATTTCAGCAGAACAGGTATTGGTTACATAGGATTAAGTAAACTAAAGATCATTTTATAGCTTTTTGTTTCAAATGTTGCTGATAAAGTGTTTTAAGCTTTTTCTCTTAAGCTGACAACAGTTTATTAAATGACTAATCTTTATAAGCAGAATTGAAACTTATCTTTCTCTCTACCTGATCCCTCCAGAATTTAAAAACTCTCAGTGACTATTTTTATATTTCATGGCAGTATGTTTATTTGCATAAGTTCAGTAAGAACCTGCTTTCCTTGTAAGAAGACCAATTAAAAACACAGGTTACACCATTTGATCAATAAATATGAGAGATGCCCTCTAAAAAAAAAAAAAACACAGGTTATACTACCATGGCTTTGACTGGAACATTATTATACCTGAGAGACACGTGTGTAAACTCAGATATGAACAGACAGCTTTCAGGAACTAAGGTTGACTTTATAAAGCCAACAAAGCCCCTTGGAAGAACTGGCCTGGTACCTTGCTTACAGGGTTCCCAGCAGCCTTACCAGGTGAGTAAGGAAGGTCACTTCCTGGCAGGTGCAGGAACCTCAAAATGTCTTGGGGACCTTGATAAGAGAAGAGTTCACCCAAATCTACAGGTACTGCAGTCAAAACCTGATGGCAAGTCTGGCTTGGCTGTCTGGCCTCAAAAGGCCTTTAAAAGTTCAATCTGAAATTCCTTACAAAAAGTTCCAGCAAAGCACATTTACAAGAGCCTATGTAATCAATTGCTCTTCTTGCTGCACTTATGCAAATAATAAAGCCAAGTGTTAATTATTTTCTTAATCTGGTTACTTCTAATAAAAATGAGAGTGATTTTAGAAAAAAGTGTTGTTTCAATAATGCAACCTTATCCATACTAAATCCTAATACTAGTCATTGAGACATAAACTAGGTCCAGAATTCTAGCTTCTTCAAAATATCTGGCTATGATTTCCGAGGTTTTAGTTTTCTCTTATCATTGCAATTAAAGTTTTACTATTTCTAGTTCTCATATTCAACCATGCATTCTTAATCTCATCAAATTTGTCCTTCCAGAATGGAAAATCCAACTCCAGATATTGCTACTTAACCTAATAACACAATTTGTTCTATCTTGCCTAGAAGCCACAAAACTGCAAATAGAAATAGAACCTGAAATAAAAGTGCCCATCTTCCAAAGCCTTCTCGAATGACCACTGATGGAGACCTAGCTGCACCCCTTACTGCGCCCCCTCTCAGCATGAAGCAGCCAGAGCAGTCATCGCCCCCTTTCCCTAGCAGCAGCTAGGGTCTATCAGCAGATAGCTACTCTATCTAAACCCCCCTACTAAAACTCTTATGTTAAACATTAAGCTCTAGAATCATTCTTCAGTGACATCAGTTAATGTTCCCCAGATAAAGAAGAGTAGCACATGTTTTATTATGCTAATCATTTGTAATGTGTAAGATTCACTTTAGCGTACTAAAAGGCCCAGGCCTATGTGCTGTCTGTCCTCCTTCAGATCTGAAGAGGTAATTTTGCAAACTGAGCAACTAACTTAAGATGCAGACCCAGCTGTAGACGACATGGTTAAAGGCAGGAAGAATTCCATCTTAAAGATAAGGTTGCATTTTAACACCCAAGTAGTTCCAGAGGCAGGATTCTTTAGCAAGTAGACAATACCTCGGCCCACCTTGGGGGCTGGGCAGGCAGCCTTTTGATGTGCTCCCAGACCAAGGTGCCAGTGTCCCAGAGAGAAATCAAGGCGGGAAATTCCTTACGTTAATCTTTAATATTCAGGGACCACTTAACAAGTCCACACCCCTAAACTCTTTTTCACATTCTCAAAAAATCCTCAACTGCCTATAAAACCCCCTAGACAATGCACCACTACGGACTCTCTTGTCCCCTCCTGGCATGAGCCGGGAGCTCTGTCCTTTCACTGCATCTCTAAATAAAAGCCTGTACCTTGCTCTCCTACCTTGACTGTTTGTGAAGCTCATTCTTCGGCTCCGCAAACAAGGACCCTGGCATCACTAGGAGGACTGGAGGGGACAGAATATGTAACAATGTCTGACCTACTTCCAGAGATTCGTGTCTGCTGTCACCTGCAGGTTCCAGCTCGTTCTTGCTCTCCCACGTCTTACATCCACCACCCCTTCCCAGCTGCTTGTCTCGAGGGCTTCAGGCTGCAGCATCGGACATGAAGACAACAGCTTACAGAGGCTGTGTCAGCAGCCCCGACAGTGGTGTGAAGTCAGAGTCCCACAAGAAATCTTTAGATGTGCCATGTGGTCCAGCAATCCCATCCCGGGGAATACATCCAGAGGAAATGAGGTCAGTACCTTCAAGAGCTGTCTACACCCCTGTGGCCACTGCAGCGTTAGTCACAACAGCCAAGACGTGGAAACAACCTGTGGATCCGACCAGCCACAGATGAGGAGATAAATGCAGGCTACATGTGCAATGGAATATTATTCAGCCATCAAATAGTTGCCATTTGTGACAACAGGAAAGGACCTTGAGGGCACTGTACAAAGTGAGAAGCCAGAGAAAAACAAAGAGTGTGTGGTATCACTCATGTGGAACAAGAGAAAAAGGCAGAGTCACCGAAACAGAGTGGAATGGGATTCGTCAGGTCCTGGGGTGGGAGTCGGTGGGGTAGGGGAGCAAAGCAGGAGATGCTGGTCAAAGGGAACAAACGTCGAGTGATAAGATGAATAGGACCTGAGGATCTGCCGTAGCGTGGTGAGCACAGTTAATAAACTCTGGGCAGCCTGCCGTGCACCAGGGGAGCAGGCTCAGGGTCTGTCCCGCCCTCTCTCTGGCATCCTCACTTTCTCTTTCCCTTTGCTCACACTCAAGGGCCCTCCCTCGGCGGCTGCAAAGCAGGAAGGAGGTGGGGCTTCAGCCTAGAAGGCCTGGGAGGTTACTCACAGATAAGGGGCTTTCCTAAGCCAAGGCTGTGTGACAGAAAAGGGGCCGAAAACGCGGGACACAGGGCAGAGCTGGGACAAAGCTGCCCAAGAGGCTGCAGCCAGATGCCCTGGACCAGGTACCTCTACCCGCTCTGCCCGCCCTGCCCCTCCATCTCCTCTCTGCAGCCTCTTCCTGCCAGCTGGGCCCTGCTCTGCCCTGACATGGGCCTCCTCCTGCCCACAGCTCCACTTCCCTTCTCTCCATCTCTGGGCTCCTTCTCTGCAGGCCCCACCCCCACCTGGGGTCTTTGCCCTGTTCTGTGGATGCCCCCATTTGGCTTCTTGGCTGGTCCCTCCCACACCTGCCCCCAGCCCTGGTGGTCCTGGTGATGCCGGGGTTCTTGTTCACGAAGCCGAAGAATGAGCTTCACAGACACTCAAGGTAGGAGAGCAAGGTACAGGCTTTTATTTAGAAATAAAGTGAGAGGATAGAGCTCCCAGCTCACACCAGGAGGGGACAAGAGAGTCCGTGGTTGGCTCGTTGTCTAGGGGTTTTATGTGCAGTTGACGGTTTTCAGGAATGAGGGTAAAGGATTAGGGGTGCAGACTTGTTGAGTGGTCCCAGAATGCTCATTCTTGATGAGTAACAGGAGATTTTCAGCTCTGATTCTTCCTCAAGACAGCAGTTTCCCTCTGGGAGCACGTCGGTTAAGGCCGCCTACCCTGCCCCCAGGAGGGCTGGGATGTTCCCTGTTTGCTGAAGTTAAGAATCTTACTTCTTAACTTCTTGGGCTGTTTATAGTTGGGCTTGCTTACTAAATCAGTCTTTTTCCTACGTTGCAGATTACTTGGTTAGGATCCGAGAAGGAAATATAGCACATAGGTACGGTTAAAATAAGCTGGGCCTTTTAGCAGGCAAAGGTAAATTTTACAGCGAAGTCACAGGTTATGCTGAGACACTTTATCTGCAGAACACTCAGACATTCCAGGCTAAGTTGCTTCTGGCCCTTTGAGTTTTAACTGATCTCACTGAAGATGTCTATATTCCTAGTCTGGTATCTTTACCCTAGAGAATTAGTGTGACTCTGACTTTGCGTGATGCTCATCACAGAATTTCATTAGGGACTTCTTTGCACATTGCTACATTGTTCTGACTGTAATTATCTTGCTGTGCTTTTTCTCCGGAGGCCCTCACCCTACTCTGCCTAATCCCATGGTCCCTGTCTCACTGGGAACCCAGCTCTCAGCCTGAGCCTCTGCCACCGGGGCTGCCCCTTCCCTGACTGAGTGGGGTGGCCTCTCTGTGGGGCTACAGGGAGCTCCTGGGCTCTGTTAACTTACCATCTGACTAAAGGATGATGCAAGCAGTTGGAGGGTTTAGTTAAAGCTCCTTGGTCGATTTTCTACAATCTGTACACGATTATAGAGAATGGTGTGACAATAGCATCTGAGACAATAAGATCACTCACCTGTGGCAAGGATATCTCAAGTGTGATCAGAAAAGTGACTGCAGACTGTCCCCAAGCACCCTCACACTAGGTGACTGCACTGCAGGAGTGAATGAACTGAAATACATTGAAGGTTGTTGTTTTGGGATGGAGGATTTCTATCTTTACTTTTCCAATAGATGGGGGATGGGTGGGCAGGAAAGTTTGGGGTGGGGGCCCAGGTGGGAGAGGGGAGTTCAGTCCCTGTGGGGTTGATCTCCTGTCCCCTGCTGTCCCTGGCAGCCCCTCTTGCCCTCCTCCAGACTCCCTGCACTCCTTGCCTGGAGGGGCAGCAGGAAATGCTCAGGGTCCCGGAGGGGTGGGTGGCCTGTGTTCAGGGGACATCAGCCAGGAGAATGCCAGGCAGCGATCTGCCCGCTCTGTCTGCTCTCCTTTGCCCCCAGACCCCCTATGGAGAGGATCCCTCGGCACAAAACCTTCTCCTTCTACTTTCGTAACCTTCCCAAAACCAATATACGAAACTGCAACTACCTCTGCTTCGAAGTGAGAGGAAAGGGGCGACCATCAGATGCCTATGTCCACAGGGGAGTCTTTCAGAACCAGGTAAGGCCCATGGCAGAAGGAATTAAGCGAGGTGAGGATGCAAAAATGCAATTAGTAGAAGGCCCATGGGCCCCCAGGGGATGAGCTCCATCTCGTGACATTTTCCTTAGTCCTTGGCCCTGAGGTCCCTGCCTAACCCTCCTGCACTTGACAGCAGATGAGAGTTGGCCTCCCCACGTGCCTTGTTCTGAGGGCCCGCAGGGTCAGGTGTGGAGAGTGGCCTTGAGCAGCCTTCCAGCATCTTCAGAAGCCCAGCCTGTAGTGCCTGGGGGCCTTGGCTGGCCCTGGTCACGGTTCGCTGGTGGGAGCTCCCCCAACCGCTGCCCCCTGTCCCGCAGGATATGCCACCTCCCAGGGGACCCCCAGCCCTTGTTGTGCTGCACCCAGCCTCTCCTAGGTCCCAGCCAGCCCTCCCTGGATGGTTCTGCACAGGCATGACCAGCAGCAGCCCCTGGAGCCAGGCCCTCCCCCTGTCGCCCTGGCCCAGCACTCCCCACTCCTGCAGGACGTCCCTCCGCACGCCTGTCTCCTCTCTGCTCCAGGACCTGTTTGGAGGGGGAGAGCATTGGGGGGTGGGCGGGGTGCGCGCCGGCAGTATATTGTCCCAAGGAAACACAACCGGACTCACACATGTCATTTGCTCTGCCTAGTACCCAGTGTTCAAAAAGCTACAAGGATTTGGTGAAATTAATAGTGAACCTGTATTAGGCAATATACCTACAATATTATTTCAACCTGTAACTAATTAAAAATTCTCCATAAGATAGCCGACTTTCTTTTTTTCAAACTAAGCCACTGAAATGAGATGTGAATTTTCCGCTTGCCACGCCCCTAATTCAGATGAGCCACATTTCCTGTGCTCAGTAGACACATGTGGCCAGTGGCTCCCTTGGGGAGCCACCCTGGGCCCCAGAGGACCTGGCCCAGGGCAGTCACTCAGAACGCTGGGGCGTGAATGAGGGGAGAGTGTGTGTTGGAACTCGTGGGTGACTGCACGAGCGTGGGAAGGGGTGACAAGATAAAGACGGAAGGGAAGGAGAGAGGGAGAGAAGGGATCCATGAATGCCATGCCCCTGGGACTCCTGCCCACACCCTCCTGCCGCGGTGACCTGCCCGGCCACCCACGGGGCCCCTTCTCCTCCCATCTCCCCCAGGTCTATCCCCACGCTCCCCGCCATGCAGAACTCTGCTTCCTTTCTTGGTTCCAAGATGAGATGCTGTCCCCTCATGAGCAGCAGCGTGTCACCTGGTTCGTATCCTGGAGCCCCTGCTCCAGCTGTGCAAAGCGGGTGGCCCAGTTCCTGCAGCAGCACAGGAACGTGACACTGAGCATCTTCGCCGCCCGCCTCTCCTACTTCTGGGACCCGGCTACCCGGCAGGGGCTTCGCAGGCTGTGTGGCGAGGGGGCCCGGGTGGACATCATGTCCCTGCAAGGTGAGAGCAGAGGAGGAGGGGCAGGGCTGTGGGGGAGACGAGGGGAGGGGCCTCACGTGCCCCCGCGAGAGTGAGTGGGAGGAGAGCTGGGCACCTGAGGCAGGACAGGGCACCTGGCAGGGGGGAGCCAGGCTGTGAGTGGGAGGGCCCAGGAGGCTCCGGAGACAGAGGCTCCCGGGACAGGACCTGACTGCTCTCCCCTCTTTGTCTCAGACTTTGAATACTGCTGGGACCACTTTGTGAACAAAAAGAATAAGTCCTTTAAACCTTGGTGGAACCTGGATCGGAATTATAATTTCCTGGTCACAGAGCTTGAGGAAATCAGGTGAGGGCCTCCTCAGCCTCCTCCTGCCCTCCTGGGGCCTCGGGCCCGGCCTCCTCTTCCTCCTGCTCCCCCTGCCTCCTCCCCTCAGGGTCTCCGCTCCCCCACCTGCTTCCTCCCGTCTCACCACACTAACCAAACCTTGTTATTAGGCAACATGTACACGGGCGTGAATAGCTATGAGTGTGAGAGTCAGATGGTTTGGGAAACGCCCTCCAGGACGGACTCGAGTCATCAGAGAAAGCAGACCCTCCGCGAGAGGGACGCCTCCTTTGCCCAGGCTTCCGAACGAGGCCGCCCACTCCTGGGGCCCGTCCCCAGGCCTGACTCCCTCCGGGTCTGGGGGCTACAAGGCCAAGGCCCAGGGGTGGCCGCCTTCTTGCTCTGTCCTGCGGGGTCTTCCCTCTGTGCTCGACCCCTGGCGAGGCCTGCCGTCCCTCTGTGTGTCCCCGAGTCCTCCTCTTCAAGGACATCTGTCAGCTTGGCTTAGGGCCCCCCTAACGGCCTCATTTGAACTTAGTCACCTCTTTAAAGGTTGCATCTCAAATCAGTGACAATGTAGGAAATAGGGGTTGGGACCGCAGCAGATGTATTTGGGGGCTCACCGCTCAGCCCATACAGTGGCCGAGGGCCTCGTTGAGCTCAGTGTGTCCGGGGAGAGCAGGATCCCTGCTCTGCACTCCTGTCCCTGGGCAATGCCCACCTAGCGCCACTTACCTGCTTGCAATCCAGGCTTTCTGTGCCTGGACCCCCCACTCGTGTCGCCAGCCTCACACTGCACCCGCATCTGCTCACCCCTTATGCAGCCCCACATTGCTGGCAGGGCGGAAGCTGTGGCGGTCTGCAGCCTGGGGATGGTGATTGGGAGTGAGGAAAAAAATTAGTGGTTAAGTTTACACTGAGAAGCATTTTCGTGAATGTAGGATTGGATGTGTGGACTGAAATGATTAGAGCTTTTCCCAAGAGCGGTGTAATCGCAGAAGGGCAGCCAAGAGTCAGTTCTGGGCCCTGGCAGCTCAGGCCCGCGGAGTCAGTCATGGGGGGACACCTGGTTCCCTGACCACAGAGCCAGCGGCCCCAGGATCATCCTGGGGAGAAATTCGGTGGACGATCCAGGCAGGGTGGCCTGGACCACGGCACAGCAGACAGGGAACTGAGATCAACCCGACTGGACGGGCTTCTGGGCAGGCAGACGCAGGGGAAGGAAAAGCCAGAGGGAAGGTGTGGGGCTTGGAGGACATCCGTAAAACCGCAGTGGAGAACCTCCTCTGTCCACCAAGACCAGCTGTGTGTCCCTCTGATCATGACTTTCTCGGCCCAAACTCCAGACACCCCAGGGTCATCGTGCAGTCCTAGTCGAGCGACACAGGCTGCGTGGACGCTGCCCCCTCCCTGGGGTCCTTTGGCTGCAGCCTGTCTCTCTGATCCCAGTGCGGGTTCCCTGGGGGCACTGCCCTGCTGTCTTCCCGCTGGGGGAAAAGGGATAAATCCTACAGCTGCCCAGGGCTGCTGTCCCCATACACTCCCATCCCCTCCTGTGGGGATGTAGGTCTTGCCTTCCCTTCTCAGAACTTCTCATACGTTGATGGAGACCCCAGTAAGAAGGAAGAATGGGTTCACATTTTCACTAAAAGTTTCAGGGTTGGACGGCAGCGGGGCAGGGCTGTCATTCCCCAGAAAGGTCAGGGTCTCTTCTTCTCCTGGCACTGTGGATTGAGGGGAGCTGCACGCTTCCCTACCGTCGTGTGGGAGGTGCTGAGCTCTCCTTTGGACCTAGAGCTCATCACTTGGTCTACCGATGTGTTTCGTGAACTGTGTCCTTCCCTGGCCCAGGGAGATGGGAGAGGAGCCGTCGCTGGGCCTCTGCTCCTGGGAAGTCAGGTCCAGGAGAGCGAGCTGGAAGGGGCTGGGGGCTCGGACAGGGCCTGGGGCAGAGCAGAGAGGGAGGCCACCAGGTCTGAGTTGGCGTCCCCTCAGCGTCCTGCCCCTTCCTGATACTCAGATGGGTGACAGCAGACACAGAGCTCTGGAGAAGGTCAAACATTGTCGTATCGTGTCCCCTCCAGTCCTTCTAGGACATGGCCTCTCTTAGCCGCCTATGTGCTGCTCACGTTGCCAAAGCTAACTTCCCAGAAGGGGAGACCCTCTAGGCCCAGCTTGTCTGCATCAGGGGGGGCAGCCAGGGGGCTTCAGGGATCAGCCAGTCCTGGTTGATCAGATCCAGGAAGCAGGGATGGAGGAGGTGCCGGGAAATATTCCGGAAGAGGAGACCTCACAGCTGCTGGCTGAGTAGCGAGACTGGCAGAGAGACTTGCGCTGAGGATGGGGGAGCATGCCTTCTCCCTGCAATGCAGCCCCCTCCCCGGGACCCTGGGGGACACCCTGGGCAGCCCCGCTCCTCCTGGTCCCCCGTTTCCTGTGAAAACCAGTGTTCTTGCTCGGAATGGATTCTGAACTTTCAGCTCCATAATTCTGGTCTGTGAAGGGCATGTGTCATTTGCCTAATTAGAAGAGTCCTGAGATTATTTAGCAGTCGGACACATCCCACCCCAGGGTCCCCACACAGGCTACCCCCCGGCATGCACGGGCTACCCCTGAGGGCAAGAGGACAAGCCCGGCGTGCCCACGCCCAGCAGGGGAGGAGGTCAGGGTGACTGGGCAGGATGGCCGGTGCCCAGGCAGGAGGTGTGATCCCAGCCTGCTCTGGGGCAGAGGGAGAGGCCCTCTTGAAGGTCTGAGCCCTGCCCTGCCCCTGGAGGGAGACGCTGAGAAGGGCCTGGGCTCACTTCCCCAGGAGCCCCCAGAAGGGGTCAGAGCGGGAGGCCTGGTGAGCGGAAGCCTGGCCTCTGTGGGTCTGGCCAGGGTGCAGGGTGCGGGGTGGACCTCAGGTGGAGTCGAGGGGCTGTGGGGCAGCGGGGAAGGAGGCTGCAGGGCCTTGGAGGAGCCCGGGTAATCAGTCCCCCCCTTTGTCCACAGACACAGTTTGGATGAAGACACCTTCTTGGAGAACTTCAATAATGACCTTTGGCCGGGCAAGACCTGCTTGTGCTACGAGGTGACAGCTCCAGTCAGTGACACCAGGGTCCCGCTGGGCCAGGAAAGAGGTTTCCTGCATAGCAAGGTAAGCGGCCCAGCCCAATGGCCACAGGGAGGGCCTCCCTATCCTGGGACATCCAGGGAAGAAGGTTCCAGAGCACACGAGTCCCACCCAGCTCTCTGGCCCTCAGTCCCCACAGCTGCTGTGACTTTCCCTGGATCTAGTGGAATCGTTGGCTCGGAGCCACACTGCAGAACCCAGTCACAGTGTCCCAGGGCCTGGCACTCCAGGCCCAGTGTCACCCCAGCCCTGGGGCTCAGGCTGTCCCCTGGTGGGGTGCCTCTGAGGAGGGGTCAAGACCAGGGAGAGGCTGGAGGAGGGGTCAGCCTACTCCCTGGCCCTGCCCCGGAAGGCCTGGGGCCTGAGAGCCCGAGTTTGTCGGCCTTCCGTGTTCCCTCTGGGCGCCTCCGGAGGCCTGGCAGGATCCCTGCCTGCTGCTCGGGAGATCCTGGCAGAGAAGTGGTCCCCACAACTGCACTGCCAGCTGCACATAGCCCCTGCCGCCCCCATGGCCCAGTGTGCCCGTCACAGGCCCAGCCCCAGTCTGCCCTGCACAGACTGCCTGACCTGTGCCCAGACCCTGGTTGAAAACCCTTCCCTGTGCAGGTGGGGCCAGTCTCCCTAATCCCGTGAGCCTGTCAATGACGCTCATCCTGTGATCCGGGCCCCGTTCCCCTTGGCGCCCCTGGCCCGTTCCGTCCCAAACAGGGAGCCCTTCTGGCCGGAGTCTGTATCACCGTGGGGCTCGGCTCAGGCTGAGGCAGTGATGCCTGGTGGGAGGTGGAGGGGGGTGGAGGGTAGCTGGTAAGGCCCTCTCTGGGGGCAGTGTTCGCCTCCCAGGCAGCAGGCCAGGGCCCGTGGCGCTGACCTGGGTCCTCCCTCCTTCCTCCAGCTCCTCCTGTCCTCCCAGAGGAAGGGACTCTGTGAGGCTCCCAAAGGCACTCATCTCCAGCACAATTTTTCTGGGGCTCCAGAAACTCCATGTTCAGAGATTATTTTAGTTTATTGCAATAGTTTAAAAATCAGTAATTTGAATTGCTCGCTTGAACTATTGGTTTAAAAATGAAACTTAATGCAAATTCCACAAGGAAGGAACAATTTCAAGGAAGACTGGTCAGGGCAGTGTGTTCAGGGCCATTGTGGACCAAGGTAGAATAAAAAGTCATCACTGGCGACCTGGGCCTTTGTACCGTCCTGCTAATGTTTACATGGGTTTGCATTCCAGTGAATCATGTAAATAGCACATTGGCATCTCACGCCCTGGGTGCTGAGGTTTGCCCCCCTTAATTATGTGCTGGAGGCTGGTGGCTCACCTGCCTCACCCTGGTCCTCTCCCGCTATGCACAGCAAATGACAGATCACCTTTCTCCCCCCTGTGCGCAGCATGGCACACCCGAACCATGCTGCCATGCAGAGTTCTTGCTCCTGGAGAGGATCCTTTCTTGGAAACTGAATCCCAAGCTGCGCTACATGGTCAACTGTTTCATCTCCTGGAGCCCCTGTGCTGCCTGTGCCCAGTATATAGCCAATTTCCTGCGTGAGAACCTCCATGTGCACCTGTACATCTTTGCCTCCCGCATCTATAGGCGCAATGATTATAAGGAGGGTCTGCGCACAGTGTGGGAAGCTGGGGCCCAAATGGCCATCATGAACTACAAGGGTCAGTGTGGGCTCACAGGGCTGGGCAGTGGGCAGGGAGAGGCCTGTGGGGAGCTGTTAGTGTGGTTGAGCAGGATCAGAATGTGTCGGGGAGAAGCTTTCATCTGCTGCCTGCAGAGGTGAAGGTAGGTCCTGGAAAGGACTGGCAGTCACTGCGAGAGAGTCTGCTCAGGGGAGGAGAGGTGGTCCCGGGATCGGGGGCAGGGAGGACGCTGACATGCAAGAAGGACTTGGGGGCTCCCAGAAAGGAGAATGGGCTGGTTAGATTGCGGTGGGAAGACCGAGTTTGAGGGATGAGGTACTTCCTGGGGAGGAAAAGGAAAGGAGTCTGGGAGATTATGACAGGAAACAGGGACTCTGTCTCTAAGCATCAGACACCTATGACCCCTTTCCCTCCCTGGAGCTGGAACCCACTCTCCCTCCCCTGTCCTGGTTCAGACTTTCAGTACTGCTGGCAAACCTTCGTGGACCACCAGGGAAGACCCTTTCCGGCCTGGCAAGGTCTAACTCGAAGGAGTTCCCGCCAGTCTGTGGAGCTGTGGGAAATTCTGCAGGTGAGATTCCTCCCTCCCTGCCTCCTCTTGTCCTCCTTCCCCCCCTCAGCATTCCCTTCCCCCCCTCAGAGCCTCCTCTGGGTTTCTTGATCTCTCCTGGGACACAGGCTCCATTCCCGCTCCATCATCACAAACTACCTCCTGCGTGTCCCTCCTGCCTCCCCACCCATGTGACCACTCAGACCTCTGCTATTGTCCCTCCTTCCACCACCCCAGTCCCTGCTGTGCTCAAGTGCCCCTTCTTCTCCTAGAATCAAGAAAACTGAAGGGTGGATTCTAAGCTCTGTAAAGATGACAAGAGACCTCTGTTCAACAGCAGATAATATACTTTCTTCCAAGAAATGTGAACTTGCCATTTACCACCTTCTCCACATGGATACAAAGAAACCATCAACAGACAATGGGTTCATAAGAAAGTGTGTTTTTTAAATCTTCTTATATTCTAAATATGCCTCAGTAAGATTACAACCCACACCATCAGAGGAGTTTTTCATTTTTTAGAGTCATAATGATATTGAGTGATTTTAATCCAAACAAATAATGAACTTTGGCCTGGACTCACTTCTGGACCTCAGGCTCCTTTCCAAAATGAGACAATGGTCAGAGACAGTGACAGTGACTGACCATAGGCACTGAAGTGACTGTTAAATGACAGTGTGAGTGTCCAATGCCTAGGACAACATCTAAGATAGCTATTCCTCAGCAAAAGATGATGTTATTCTAAAAAAAACAAGTGGTATCTTTCATGCAACCAATCACTCATCCCACGAATAATCAGTCTTCAGAATGTTCTGGCCCACCATGTGCAGCCAGGCCCCAGGGTCATGGTTTCATGGAGGCCTCAGCAGAGCAGTGCCAGGCCAGGGCCAGTTCCTGGGGATGGAGCCAGGGAGGCATGAGGTGTCCACAACTGCTCCCCGTGAGACAGGTGTCAGGGGAGCAGCAGCAGCAGGCGTGGCTTCAGCTCAGTGTCTGTCCCCTGGCCTCCTGCACTGTTTCTTGTTCTGTGACCCATGGTTTATTTGCTTGATTACAGCTGGGGGTCCCTCCTCAAGGTGAGCTTCAGGACCTCAGGCCCTGTGTATGTGACAAAGGCTCTGACCAAAATAAGTGGATGGTGACACTCTGCAGGGGGGTCTGCAGGATAATGTCAGGATAATTTCCTCCCTTGGTTTGGATTTCTGGGCTCTGACATGAGAGCTCCCCCATTCCCCAGTACAAGTGACCCAGAATGCTCAAGATGCCGTCAGTCTGGACAAAGGCATCAACCTGGGCTGAGGACAGGTGCTCTTACATTGGGAGCCGAGTCCCTAGTCTGTGCTGCCACAGTGCAGGTTCTAGGGGCACCTGCAGTCACCCATCCCCTGACTCCTACAGATCTGGCTGCTTCAACTCACAGGTGTTGGGACAGTGTGCCCTTCCAGGGTCCCACAGGGCACAGGAGTTTGTGGAGCAGGTCCCCACACTCCGTGGGCCACCCTCTGCCCCCAGCACAGGGCTTCATGCACAGGTGGCCCTCCCTCTGAAATTTACAGTAGGTGACTGAGAAGCACCTTCTAGGTTGAATCACTGAGGAGACTGGGATCCTGTGAAGAGAGCTGCCTGGGTCAGGACAACGTCCCCCTCCCTGGAAGGCAAGCTTGCCCAAAGTCTCTGACTCCAGACCTGGACCATGTAGAGAGGCCATCTTCAGCTCAGGAGGGTTGGAAACTACTGGGTGGGTGGTGTCTGTCATGTGGGGAGGCAGGTTGGGACCTGGGGATTGTGGCGCTACATGCAGCACACCCCAGATTAGGCTCTCACTGGAAGCCACCTGGGTCACCACACACGGGACAACAGTAAGCTTAGAGGGGACCAGGAGATGAGAGGGGCCTCAGCAGAGGGTTGATGGAGGGCACCACACTTCTGTCTGAGGAGGGGCGCCCATCCAGAAAGACGGGGACATTGTACTGAGATTTCCACCTTCCAGTTCTGAGCGGCCAGTCTGGGAGGTAAGTAGCCTGGTTCTCTGCAAACAGCCAGGGCAGGACTCCGGGGGCGGGGGCTCTGCCTAAGAAGGTCACATCCCTTGGGAGGGGGCACTGGCCCAGGATAGGTGGGCTAAGAGGAGCTGGTATGGGGGAGTCAGTGGGAGAGAGGGCAGCCCCTTGGGAGCCCCTAGGGCTCAGGGTCACACTTGGGGCTGGAATACAACCCCCACAACCCTCCCCGGAAGAGCAAGGCAGGAACCCTTCCTGAGGTGGGTGTACATCCCTGCAGCCGCCGGCCCCTTGTGTGGGGCTGGTCAGGGCTCAGTCCCTTGAGGAGCCTTTCTTTTATGCTCTGTAATAGGGTGAAAACCTTCCGTGTCCAGTTTGCAATGGGTCATTAGATGGTGGGCTCGGCAGAGGTGTGTCCCCATCCCTTCCTGGGAGCAGGGGTGAAGGCCTGGCTGCCTGCCACCCAGACCAGACGGTCCCCTCCCCGCTCACAGCCCACAGCTGTCTCAATCCCGTAGGTCCCAGGCAGTCCAGACTGGCCTTGCCCTCTGCTGGCTGCTGTGGGGACTCAAAGGCAGGCCACCCTGGAGCTGCCCTGTGGGGCTCTGTGTCCTGTGCCAGGGCCTTCCTGCAGGCTATGGACACCTGTCTGCTCACCTCCTGCCCTGTGGTCTGCTGCCCAGAGTGACCCCACCCCCCACACGCCGCGTTTGCCATGGTCAGTCCTTGTGGCTCTGAGTTAGGGCCTTTGTCAGAAAAGAGGAGGAGGGGTCAGCCTCCTCCCCGGCCCCGCCCCTGACGGCCTGGGGCCCGAGCCAGAGTTTGTCGGCTCTCCGTGACCCCCGTGGGCGCCTACGTGGGCCTGGCAGGATCCCTGCCGCTGCTCTGCGTCCAAGGGCATGGGGATGCATCATGTGCACATAGAAGTTCCTTCCTCTGTGATACCGACGAGGGTAGCGTGAGTGGCCTGAGTTCAGAAAGGGGTGGGGCCCAGCATGGCCAGCGCAGCAGCTTCCAGGTGCCCTGACGGTACGTGATGCTCCTGGGTCCGGGAGGAGGCCGCAGGCTGTGCCCCCGCAGGGAGGCAGCAGACACAGACCCAGGGACGGTGAGGGGACAAAGACGTGGCGGCCAGAACAGAGGCCGTGGCCAGGTGCTACCTGCCCCACAGAGCCCCTGCGCCTGCCTCTGAGTTGCCCTGGTGGGAACCTGCCACCCACAGGAATCCTCCTGGGCCCCTGGGGGGCCCTCCTCCTCACTGCCTCTCTCCCGCTGGCTGGCTGGGGTCTGGCCATGACCCCCATCTGCTGTCCAGCCCATCTCCTTGGCTCCGTGCTTCAGGGAAGTCACCCTGGGCGGCCCCGTTCCTCCCTGTCCTCTGTTCCTGTGAAAACCAGTGTTCCTGCTCGGAATGGATTCAGCGGTCAGGCACATCTTACCCCAGGGTCCCCACACAGGCTACCCCCCGGCATGCACGGGCCACCCCTGAGGGCAAGAGGACAAGCCCGGCGTGCCCACGCCCAGCAGGGGAGGAGGTCAGGGTGACTGGGCAGGATGGCCGGTGCCCGGGCAGGAGGTGTGATCCCAGCCTGCTCTGGGGCAGAGGGAGAGGCCCTCTTGAGGGTCTGAGCCCTGCCCTGCCCCTGGGGGGAGATGCTGAGAAGGGCCTGGGCTCACTTCCCCAGGAGCCCTCAGAAGGGGTCAGAGCGGGAGGCCTGGTGAGCAGAAGCCTGGCCTCTGTGGGTCTGGCCAGGGTGCAGGGTGCAGGGTGGACCTCAGGTGGAGTCGAGGGGCTGTGGGGCAGCAGGGAAGGAGGCTGCAGGGCCTTAGAGGAGCTGGGGTAATCGGTCTCCCCCTTTGTCCACAGACACCGTTTGGATGAAGACACCTTCTTGGAGAACTTCAATAATGACCTTTGGCCGGGCAAGACCTGCTTGTGCTACGAGGTGACAGCTCCAGTCGGTGACACCAGGGTCCCGCTGGGCCAGGAAAGAGGTTTCCTGCACAGCAAGGTAAGTGGCCCAGCCCAATGGCCACAGGGAGGGCCTCCCTATCCTGGGACATCCAGGGAAGAAGGTTCCAGAGCACACGAGTCCCACCCAGCTCTCTGGCCCTCAGTCCCCACAGCTGCTGTGACTTTCCCTGCATCTAGTGGAACCGTTTCTGCCGGGATTGTTGGCTCGGAGCCACACTGCAGAACCCAGTCACAGTGTCCCAGGGCCTGGCACCCCAGGCCCAGTGTCACCCCAGCCCCGGGGCTCAGGCTGTCCCCTGGTGGGGTGCCTCTGAGGAGGGGTCAGGACCAGGGAAAGGCTGGAGGAGGGGTCAGCCTACTCCCTGGCCCTGCCCCGGAAGGCCTGGGGCCTGAGAGCCTGAGTTTGTTGGCCCTCTGTGTTCCCTCTGGGTGCCTCGGGGGGCCTGGCAGGATCCCTGCCCACTGCTCGGGAGATCCTGGCAGAGAAGTGGTCCCCACAACTGCACTGCCAGCTGCACATAGCCCCTGCCGCCCCCATGGCCCAGTTGTGCCCGTCACAGGCCCAGCCCCTGTCTGCCCTGCACAGACCGCCTGACCTGTGCCCAGACCCAGGTTGAAAACCCTTCTCTGTGCAGGTGGGGCCAGTCTCCCTAATCCCGTGAGCCTGTCAATGACTCTCATCCCGTGATCTGGGCCCCATTCCCCTTGGCACGCCTGTCCCGTTCCACCCCAAACAGGGAGCCCTTCTGGCCTGAGTTGTTATCACCGTGGGTGGGCGTGGGGGCGGGGAAGAGAGGAGAGTGGAGCATATTACTCCCTGGAGGAGTGTCAGGGAGTGAACACCTGGGCACTCACTCACGAAATGACCTGCCCCTCTCCTTCTGGATTTGGTCTCTGCTGCCCAGATTGGCCATCTCCGGACCCTAGTGCCCCTTGTCAAATGCCAGTCCCTTGCTTTCTGAAATGATAGGGCAGGGATCTAAGCCCTCCAGGGGAGTTCTGGGAACTGCAACTGAGGGGTACAGAGACACAGCATCCCAGGCTAGTCCCAGGTGCCTATGGCAGGTCCTTTTGTGACTCGGTGTCTGTGTGTGTGCATTTACCTGTGACCAGGTCAGGGATGCGTCAAGACAGGCCCTCGATCTGTGGATAGATGGGATTTCTGAGATGAAAATGTTCCTGCAGAAGAGAAAGTGGGAAGGAAAACAGAGGGCACTGAGCCCAGAATCAGAAATGGGAACCAGGACCAGTGAGTCCATGTCCTGCCCCCGCCATCTCCCTGGGCTCCTTCCTCCCAGGACCTGGCCTGTCCCCAGACCCAGCCATGACCTCTCTACTGAGCCTCCCATACTGCCTTGTCCACCCTAACAGCCTGGACTCCTGGCCTGGGCTTTGTGAGCCACCCTGGAATCTCTCCTACATATGTTATGAAATCCTGTTATTCCTGCCTTTGCAAGGTCTCCTGAGCCTTCAGTATTTCCAGTCACATCAGAGAGAAGAATATGCTCACCTTCTAACTCCATAAG